ATAGTTTAAACATAACTCACTCTTCTCTCATTCTTTACTAATATTATTATTTTGTTTGTTGATAATTCTTTTCTTATTACTTTTTGTCTTTACTTGCAAGGCAGTACGTACGGGAGGAAATTGGAACTTCCGTTTGGTTGGGACTTATAGGGTATTATGGTATGGAGGGGGTATTAAAAGTATGTTGAAATAGTATGATAGTGTTGTGGAGGTAGACAGAGATATAGAGGAGAGTAAGTACTTGCTTAGACTACATAATTACTTGCATAAGTACGACTAAGTAAGATTATAATGGAGTTGTTTGGCTTTTACTTATCTTTTTGCATTTCGCACTCTTTCAATATCGCATTTTCTATTATTTTGTTTTTTTGTTTGGGGCTGGGGGCTATGTTGGAGTGATCAGGTTATGTTGTGGGGGTAGATAAACTTTTTTTTTGTTGTTGGTACAAAAACAATACATACTGTATAACACTTTTCGGGGGCCCTGCGCAACACTTGCAACTCTTTGTTTTTCAACACTGAACTTCTGCACTGTACTGCAATTGTAACGGTAACTTTAACACAGTTGTTTTTTAAGGTGTTTTTTTTACAAGCTTAATAAGTTTTTAGAATTTATTTTGTGATTTTGTGTAATATTTGATATTATTGATGGTTGAAATCCATTTTGATATTCGATATACGAGGCGTTTGCCAACAACTAACGGGAATGCTGCAGCTATAGTGTTGGGAGGAGTTTTAACTATCAGATAAGGATGTTAGATCCGAGAGATCGCGCTTAGGAAGGATTTCGGATAATAAAAAGCGTCATAGAGGTAGCAAGTAGGAATTAAGCAGAATATTAGCGATGAGACGATTACTTTTGAACACCTCGTATACCACTAGGCTTAGGATCTAGGATATTTTAATGATCCTAAGCAAATGCTTTCAACAGCAGAAAATTAGTATAAGTTTGTGAGTGTAAGGAATGGACCACTGTTTTATGTCTAGCCATAGGCTAAACCTAGAAATAATTCAATTTTATGTGCATAGATGTTTTCCCCCTAGAGCATAATTTTTGCAAGTGAGTGATTGGCATGATCTGCAATAATGATGATGCTAGTGATGAAGCTCTAAACTAAAACATCTAATAAATTGGATTAACCCACTCAAGAATGCTGTCGTTGGCTTTTTGGCACCACGCTAGGACACAAGATCAGTTCTTTTTGTACAGATTGAGATTCTTAGCACTTGGGATTTGATTTTTGTTTAGTCAAGTTGATTCTTTCTTCTGGTTTGGCGCTGCCTACGCACTAGCAGAGGATTAGAGACTTACCATGCCACAAGCCGCGGCGGCCGCAGCTGCTGCAGCAGCGCCCGGATTGCCCGGCTGCCGCACAGCCTGTAAACGCTGAAGCATCACAGCCCGATTGATATGGTCCTGTTGCTGTTGTACCTGCTGCTGATGCTGCTGCTGGGCTTGCTGTTGCGCATGCTGTTGTACCGCCTGCTGCTGCTGCTGCTGGTGATGCTGTTGTACCGCCTGCTGCTGGGCAGCCACAGCCTGGGCAACGTGAGCTGCCTGCACCTGAGCTTGGACCACTGCTTGAGCTTGGGCCTGGGCCGCTTGTACATGCGCCTGAGCCTGGGCTTGAGCCTGAGCCTGTGCCTGGGCCTGAGCCTGCGCCTGGACCTGAGCCTGTGCCACGGCCACAAATGCGGCGGTCTGTAAGAAAATGTAGGGAATTGATTTGAATTTTTCTCACAGTCCACATGCGGGGAATATTTCTCTAAGAAAACCAACTCAAATTGAAACTAGAACATAAGGAAAACTATTGGACATAGCTTGGTTCTTCGAAATCGAAAAACTAGAAGGTAATCTACATCTGCCGCACCCTCAGATTGAACGAATATTATTCGATTAAAATCTAGAAATCCCCAATATAGGATTTAAAATGAGATTCGTTCCGGTTTTATCTTTGCAAATTCGAAATGCGAGATCTATAGATGGTAGAGGACGAAAATGGGACCAGGACATGGGTGGACCTTGTATATATATTTTTTTTTGCATTGCTGTTTGAAATCAAAGTACCTTATGTGGTTAAATTGAAAACCGCCGTTTCATTTGTTTTGTTGCCATTAATTTGTTTGTTTAATTAAAAAATTGTACAGACATATATCATACTATATGCTAAAAAAAGTGATTTTTCTTTTCTTTTGTGTTTTTGTATAATTCTTGTATTCCGTAATTGCTTGCGTTCGCTGTGGTCGTAATGAACGTAAATTTCGCCTTCGCATCACCCGAAATTTGCAAAAATAATCATAATCGTAACAAAAATCGGGTTTTTCGTATTTATAATCAATATATAAAAAAAGTTGTCCAACTTGGAGATAAATGGAATTCAAAGAATGCGAACGAAACGCAAAATGCAGTCGGATCTCAAATGTAAGTTAATTATTTTTGTAAGTGATTCGTAAGTTGTCTTTTTTGTACAGGTCAGTCCGTGTTCAGTCCGTTCGTTACTGTTCTTGTTTTTTTTTTTTGTGTCATATTTTTAGCGTGTGTCCGAGTCTGTCGCCGTATGCTCATTTATATTGACTATGGTTGCTATAACTATGATAAGAACTCACTTCCTGGGCCTTTGAGATGGCTGTGGAGACAGCAATCGCATTTGCGGCGGCATGGCTGCTGTTGCTACTGCTGCCTGTGGGTGAAATTCCAGCCAGCGATGGAGGCGGCGGTGTGACGGGCATCGATGATGAGGACCCATTATTGCTTGGGCTCTTTCTGCTGTGTAGATTCGCGACTGCGGCCAGTGCAATAGCGAGACGCGCCTGATATTTGGGCTGGCGGGCACGTAACTCTTCCAGACTTGAATCCTCCGGCGGATGCATAATTTTTGTGCTAACAGCGGCCGTTGGTCCGCCTCCTGATGTGGCATTTGGAACTGGCGGACGGCTCTGTTGCTGTTGTGCATCGGGCGGGCCACTTGGTGGTGCGCTTGATGCGCCACCAGCATGATTGGTGGTGGGTGGAGCACTTATGGTAGCATTACTTTACCAAAAAATCAAACAAAAACAAGAATAAGTATGAAATTCGTTGGCGAGAGCCCGGAAGTAGGTCCCAGTCGCCATTGGGAGTCTATATCGGGGAATGAATGTCTGTATGTTCCCCACCTGTAAGCTGGAAACGTTGGCTTCTGCTGGGCCATGGCGGCAGCGTGATGATGATGCGCCGCTGCCGCTGCAGCCGCTGCTGAGGTAGTCGCCATCGCAGCTGGAAACAGAGGACGCGGCGGCATCATGTGAGGCATCATGGGTACCGGGTAAGGAGGCAACGGCGGCATATGTGTCATCATTCCCATGCCATATTGCCCCAGCATATGAGGGGGCATCATATTCGGCGGCATCATCATGGGTGGCGGTACGCTCATGGAATCTGAAACGGTTATATCCCAATAGATAAACTCATTTGCTTATTATATCGAATATCACATCACTCACATTCAACTTTCTTCTTTGCCACTGGCTCGTCATCGTCGGAATCAGATTTTCCGCCATTCTTCTGCTTCTCGTGATCCCTGAGGTCCTCAACTGGTATTCCGTCCATGCCAAATATTTCAATTTCAATGTTTGAGCGATTGGGCAACGAGTTGGGAACCTTGTCGACCGTCTCCTTATGCACTTGCATACAGTGGATGGACAAACCAGGACCCGTATACAGCTTTTTGTGGCATATGTGGCACTTAAAATGCTTGGCCTTTTGATGTTGCACCAGGATTTTTTCATCGTCGAACTCACGGTTGCAGTACCTGTTTTAAATGAGTTAAGGAAAATGCCAAAATATCCGTTCTTCCTGCCCCCTTGCCAACACCATTATATAAATTTCTCCTGTGTGAGTGGTTTGTATGTGTACATACAAATTTTTTTGCCCTACCAGCTAGCGGCACATGCTGGGAAAAATATTGTTGTTTGTTTTAAAAAAGGATACCAGCACCAGGGTTTGGAGGCCTTCTTCTTTTTGCGACCCATGATTTGAAATTTGTTTAAAAGCACTTAAATTCGACGATGCGCTCGTCCAATTCTTTTAAAATTACAAATTTCTGTAGCTAAAAAATTTTTCTTCGTGAGAGTCGTGAGAAAACAAAATGGAGTGCATGCCGATAAAATATCCGTACCATACCGATGAAAAATACGAAATTAGCCCACTGAACCCCCTTTTATTTAAACAGGTGAACAACTTAAATTTAACTGCCGAAAATAGTACTGTATGTAAATTCTTCTAGTAGATCCATCCTATCCTTCCACCTGAATATCACATAAATTCTTCAAGTTTAATCATTTTCGTGGGAATATTAAAATACCCCATTGGTCGACAATGGGTTAATCGTTCGCTGTCCATTATCATATTCATTTGATATACGATTTGAGATAACTAGCTATCTAGGACTCCAGCACTGAACACATCAATTTATCCGCTTGATGAATTAATTTTCTACAACACTGACTAATTTGATGTACTCCTTGCTATTTGATTGTGTCTAAAATAAGGTTTAAACAAAAAGGGTCAAGCTAAAACGTAAGTGTACATATGTACATACATATGTATATGCAATGTTACGTTATTTCTTACATGTTGCTTCTATTTGATAATATTAAAATACTGTCTTCCAAGCTGCTTTGAAACCCACTTATTAATATTTTTGGATGACAACATTCATCAATCCCCTTTTGCCTACCACAACATGGAAGGAAGCATATCAAATTTCGCCTCTAGGAAAGAGAGGGTATGGACAACAACGGCCCAGAAAATGCAGTGCATACAAAGCGATTGACAGAGGATCCGTGGTCAGAGAGGAACACACAGTTTTTCACTCAAGTTATTTAAATTTAGGGGGGTTTAAGTGGGATAAGTTAGTTTTTTCCATCGGTATATTTCCGGTATATTTTTGAAATGAGAAGGTATGTTTCGGTATTTCTGTCTGACAGTATATCGATAGGCCCACTGACCGGCATTAAATAAAATATAAAAAATTTGCTTAAAATGGCAGATAAAAAGGTAAAAAAAATACCTAAATTAGAAAATAATTTCATTTCACCAACATGTACGTCTCCTTCCAGGTGGGTGGAAACAATGACGGCAAGGAGAAACGCCGCAAGGAGTCCATTCTGGACCTGTCCAAATATCTGGAGAAACAGATCCGTGTGAAATTCGCGGGCGGACGCGAAGCATCTGGGATTCTCAAAGGCTACGATGCTCTGTTGAACTTGGTGCTGGACAACACAGTGGAGTATCTGCGTGACTCGGACGAGCCCTACAAACTTACCGAGGACTCAACACGGAGTCTCGGCCTCGTGGTCTGCCGTGGCACAGCGTTGGTACTAATCTGCCCCGCAGACGGCGTCGAAAGCATTGCAAATCCATTTACAACGCAATAGGAGGATAGCATCTATCTCTATGGCCTAGGCTTAGTACAAAACTCTTGTGGAAATCGGTTTAAAAATATATTTAGCGGAGACTCATAAATAAGTGCTTAAATCTAATTGCTTTAGCTTCTCCTCAGTCCAGGCCAAACTCGTTTCGTATCCAGGGATACTGGGCCGGACACTCCATGCATGTGTAGAAATACCGATCCTCCTGTAGCACCCTACTGCGTACCTTGCATACGTTGGGTATGTTGCAAACCTGTTCGTGGTCATCTAGCTCCTTAGTCTGGCAGTGCCAGGGCTCGAACTGATGCATCTGATTGCTGGGCGTCGGATGACGCATCCACTGAATGGCCTGCTGGTTGGTCACAAAGTACACATCGGGTAGTTTTTGCAGATCATCGAGAAATTTCTAAAGGACAATTAGAAGAGTAAGTAATGTATGTAAATTGAGTCAGTTCGGTTATTCCCTTCTGTATTTACCAAAAACGCATTCAAATAATCAATCTTTTTAAACCAGGTGGAGTGAAAATACAAGCCAAAGGGTGCCCGGTTGCTCAGGTAATGTCTCTTGAAGTTGTGCGTTAGCAGTCTGTAGATATCATCGCCACTTAAATGGGGCGGACAACTGTCAACCATCCCGCACCTGTATTCACCGGCTTCCAGTTGATTAATAGCCAACTCCCAGATGCCCGGATAACTTCTCGATGGACAATTCTGGTTAACTCCCGTGCAACTGTGCGGCATCTTGTAGTCCAGTGTGTACGGCCACAGGGGGGGATTCGAATGTGGGGCCACCATGGAGGCGTCGTAAACAAAACCAAACTCCTTCATCATTAGGAACTGACGATTCCATCCCACGCGCAGGAATGGCACTCGCATGCCCCGAATTTCATCCATCCGAACGGCGGCAAACTTGTTGATAATGTTCGCCTGGCCCACCATCTCATCGAACCAATCCTCAATTGTGGCATTCTTGGACCACCACATTTCTGGACCTCGATGGCTGTATGAAGAAGTGTGTTAGAGGAGAGTTTCATCAGCTTGAAAGAGCTTGGAACTTACGTTACTGAATGCACGGCAATCTCGTGTCCGTCGTTCCAGAGCTTCTGTACATATTGATAATTGGTAAACGGATGCGACACATAGAAGGTGCCCTTAATGGGACATCCATTGGGATTGCGACGATTCTGTGTGAACAGAACCTTGGAGAAGAGCTCCCAGTTGTCGTGATTGATGGCATCGTCGAAGGTGAGCAGGATCATCTGGGGAACAGATGAGGTCCCGAGGTTTCCCGGTATCTGGGTGCCATCCTTTGAGCAGAAGCAATGCGGCAACTGGCACTTCTTCGAGTCGCACGCCCCAGCCGCATTCGGATCATGCTCGACATCGCACCAGCCCTCATCGGAGCCATCCGGACAATCCACAGAGCCATCGCAGAAGTACTCCTGAGGCAGGCAAGTGCCATCGGCACAGCCCAACTGATACTCATCCGCACAATCGGCCATCTCCAGCAGCGGCTTGGGAGCCGGCGTCTCTGCACTCACATCACAATTATCCACGTTCGCCTTGAAGTCGCATATCTGACGCACCACATCGAAGAGCAGCCCCTCCGAGCATTTGAACTCAAATACCTCCCCATCCAGGCACAGAAAATACTTGGCACACTCACTGTTCGTCCAGATCTTGTGGACCGGCCTAGTCGGATTGCGATAGAAGCGTGCATCATGCATGCAACTGGCTGTTGAGGCCGAGCGCCGGTGACGACTGTGGTTGCTGTTGCTACTGTGACTGCTGTTGATTATTCCATCATTGTCTGCAAATTGGTGTGAGAGAGCTTCGTGTAATTACTAAAGGAAACTAATTAATGCGTTGACCCAATTAGGAGCAGCCTCACGTCAACCCAAAAGTAGCTAGCCATTGACTGTCGGTTGCAGCAATACTCTCGTTTCTTGAGTGTGCCGCCAATCACGCATTGGAATTGGAATTGAGGCATGGGCGTTGCACATATGGAGCTTGAAGGGGGAGGATATATGTACATATGTACAAGCCCCCACAGCCGTACTATCCACTTATGAAGCTGATCGGATGCGAATTTGGTTGTAATATCTAGGTTTTACCACTCCCCTGCCACCCACACTGTGCTGGGGCATATACGCCCCTTGGCCAAGTTATGGCCATGGCGTACCACATTGTAGCAGATAAATTGAAATGCGTTTGCATCATGAATTGGCCTGGCCAGCAGCAATGGCCCGTAGCCGTGCCGCACCAGATCGTAACTCAGACCGATTGAGCAAGCGACCAACACACGCGTTGGTTAAATGCAGCGATGCAGATGATATCTCAAGATATGTCTACCGATTGTCTGTCCGACTCTGATGTACATATCTACATCTGCATCTGTGAGTGTATCTCAATATCTACCAATCTATCCCCATGCCTCTGTATTTGTAGGAGAGCCGCTGCTCAGCTGCTAAGCTGTGTTGCAGCATTTAGAAAGTAAATTTATCATTTTACTTAGCCATGGCAGCGGGTCAGGAAAATTTCAGCAACTGTCATTGGGTTCAATGCACAGCATAGTCTGTAGTCTTTGGGTGCAGGGGGTTGGTGGCGGACCTGGCCTAGCCTAGCCAGACTTGGCTCTACTCTGTTCGTTATGTAACAGATCAACAACTTTCACACCCAATGCGCGCGCATGCGCATGCCAAAATACAAAGACACGCACCCAATCAGGAGACCGCGCCCGCGACCGTTCCCGCCCCAATGATGACAAACAAAAGTGGAGAAATTACCAATGCGCATAGCATCCAGCGACGATATGGACGACATAATCATCAGCATAACAATGACAATGCTGCTGGACAGACCATATAGTGGGAGTAGGTTGAAGTTTTGCATTGATAACCGCCGACTCAATGCTGAGGCACGACAACGTCGCTGGGCGGAAGCGACGACCTTGACTGTGAAACCAGTTTGGCAATTTAAATTTTCCCCGGGGCAAAGCATTTTTCTGCTTAATTTCCAGTTTGCGTGTGTCCAATATATTTCTTTGTAGGTTTATTTGTTGCGGTGTATCTCGAGTGGAAAAACTAAGACCAAGCCGCACCGCACCACCGGCGAATGAAACGTGTTGAAAGTACGCGAGTTCCGCTACCGCACAAAGCCGAAGCGAAGCCAAATTGTGACTGAAAGTCTTGTGAGATGCAGCTGGCTATATATATATTTGGGCATTTCTCTTTATAGAGGGTATCGGAGAGCGTCTTAGAGAAAGCTCTTTGTTGTTGTCGCTATATTTTTCTCTCTCTTCGCTACAGTAATTGTTCCCCACTTTTGGTACATCGAAAATATTCTTAAAATATACATTTACAAAATTTCATTGTATTGCAAAATGTAATTCATCTGAACATATAAGAACATATCTTCCTTAATTAAGATTACCTTTTAGTAATTATTTGTTTTGGTTTACAAAATGACGCGATTGATTTTTAAATTTGAATTTGAATTATCCATTTAAAAAAACGTCTCATTCTAGTACTGCCAACTCGCTTCGATTTTACGGATTAGTTCCAGCGATAAGTATAGGGGGCGCTGTTGCCTAGGCAGCTTTCTATGTTGCTTGCAACATTAATTTTGCAAACCGTATGTTTTGTGTGTTTTAGTCAAAATACAATCCCTGAAAGTACTTAATACTAGCCAATCTTGTAAAAAATATATTCGTCAATGGAATAAAATTATGTGGGCGAAGTTGAGAGATCTACATAGCTTGTAATATTCGACGGAAGATCAAAATCAAGGAATATGTATAATAGAACTTGAACTCGTCAGTATATTTACGGTATATTTTGAAAATATACGGCTCATTTCGGTACATTTCTGAGGGACGGTATATATCAATAACTCGCGACACATTCGTTATTCCCTAGGTGGCGCTGTTGCCTAGGCAGCCCTGCGATAGCGTCCTAATTCCATTGGCGCCTGTTTGGCAAAGCATAATTTGCGTTATTCCTCGAAATATAAGCCTATGAGATCTACAGAATGAGTCCCAGCACCGTCACATTGAAAGGTGGGGGTGGACGCAAGAGTGGGCCGAATCGGCTGGCCCAGATGACAGGACAGCAGCAATTGCGGGCCCAAAAAGAAGCCGAGAACGCCGCTGCAATGGACGCCCTGGATGATGCCATGGTATTTGACGATGAGGAAGGCGGGACACGCATTGGGGATATATACATACCGCCGCCGGTGCCGGCCCACTGTTCGATGGAGAGCACCGGACCGCGGCTGATCATCAAACAGATTGTGAACCACAACTTCAAGAGCTACGCTGGAGAGGTGATACTGGGACCCTTCCATCATAGCTTTACCGCCATTATAGGACCCAATGGCAGCGGTAAGAGTAACGTGATCGATTCCATGATGTTCGTCTTCGGCTGTCGGGCCAATCGCATTCGCTGCAAGCGTGTCTCCACCCTCATTCATAAATCCTCGAGGTATCCCAACCTTCGTAGCTGCGCGGTGGCCGTACACTTCGAGCAGATTTTGGACAAGGGCAATGGCACTTGCGTGACGGTGCCCGACTCTCACATTGTCATCGAACGAACGGCCATGTCAGATAATTCCTCATATTATCAAATCAACGGACGTCGCGCTCAGGTCAAGGATGTGGTCAAGCTACTGAAGACCCATCATGTGGACCTGGAGCACAATCGTTTCCTGATTCTCCAGGGCGAGGTCGAATCGATAGCCATGATGAAGCCGAAGGGTCTGAATGAGAACGAGACCGGAATGCTGGAGTACCTGGAGGATATTGTGGGCACCCAACGCTATATTCGACCACTCCATCAGATCAACCAGCGTGTGGATCAGCTCACCGACGATCGCACAGAGAAGCACAATCGCTGCAAATTGGCCGAGCGTGACATGAAGGACCTGGAGCAGCCATTCAATGAGGCCGTCGAGTACCTGAAGAAGGAGAACGAATGGGTGCGAACAAAATCTTGGGTGTACCAAAAATACATCAGCTTGAAGAAGATCTCTTTGGAGGAACACACTAAAGAGTACGAAAGCTGTGCGGAGAATTTAAAAACGCATGACGAGGCCACCAATGTGCTCCAAAAAGAACGCGCCGAAAAGGAGGAGATCATAAGAAAGGAAATAGAGTAAGAAAAACATATATGCATATGCAGTTGTTACAGCAAAATATATTGTTTTACGTCAACCATCTTTCAGGGCTTTTGAATCCCTGGTTAAGCAGAGAGATCAAGTCAAAAAGAAGCTTGTGAGTGCAGAGCGCGCCTGCACGGAGGTCCAAAGCACAATGGAGAACACCAACAAGCAGCGCAAAAAGGACAAGGCCCAGATTGAAAAGAACGAAAAGGAGTTGGAGGACTTGCGTACGCTGCCAGAAAGAAATCAGCGTGAAATTGAGGATTGCAACAAGAAAATGGAACGTCTGGAGAAGGAAAAAGTCACACTAAATGAAGAGCTAGAAAAACAAATGAACGAACTGAAAAAGCAGACCGAGCCCCTCACCGAGAAGCGCCTCAAGCTGACCGACGAGCTGGTGGGGCTCAAGGAGAAGGTCAACTCCGCCAAGGCTGCACTGCAGGTCCACGAATCCGAGCTGAAGATCCTCAAGCAAGTGGAGACAACTGAAACCAGAAAATACGAGTCTCTAATGAGCTCCTATCAACAGTCACAGCAGAGTCTCGAGGAGAAGGCGAACAAAGTGGTTGAGCTAAAGCAAAGTATTCCCGAAATGAAAACAGAGATCGCCACCAAGTCAGCGGAGGTAGAAAAGCTTAACAAAGAGGAGCGCAATCTGTCCGTACAATGTTCAAAACTTAAGGATGAGGTAGGCATTCAGTCAAGCTGTTTCATTGCTGATCTTGGCAAATCCTTTCTGCGCTTTCTTAACTTCACATCTATTCTCTTAGATTAACGAGCGATCGAGAAACATGCAGTCCCAGCGTTCCAATGACAAAGTTCTGGACTTCCTTATGCGCCAGAAAATGGAGGGCAAGATCCCAGGCATTCTGGGACGTCTGGGTAACTTGGGTGGCATTGATGCAAAGTATGATGTGGCCATTTCCACAGCGGCTGGCGGTCGCTTGGATAACATTGTGACGGATAACTACGACACAGCCGCGGAAGCCATTGCAGCCCTGAAAAAGTACAATGTGGGCAGGGCCACCTTCATTACCCTAGAAAAGATCGAGCATCTTCGACGTGAGGCCTGCTCCACGATTGACACGTATGTTTTGGACAATAATCCAATCAATAAGCAGATAACATAACTGTCTAAATGAAATTGCAGGCCTGAGAACGTGCCCCGTCTGTACGATCTCGTGAAGGTCGAAGATGATCGCGTCAGGACCGCCTTCTACTTTGCCCTGAGAAACACACTTGTGGGCACGGACCTGGAACAGGGCACACGCATTGCCTATGGAAGGCAGCGCTACCGAGTGGTCACGCTGGGGGGCGAGATGATTGAGTTGACGGGCACAATGTCTGGCGGTGGCAGGACTGCCCTTCGTGGTAAAATGGGCACCCAAGTGCGGACCAAGACTGCCGAAAGCGCCGACACCTCGTCATCATCACAGAGTGCCTTGGAGGACATGCAGATCAGGGCAGAAGAACTGCAAACGAGAATCAACTATTGCCAAGAGCAGCAAGGTCGCCTGGAGCGTGAGGTGCAAACATTGCAGATAACGTTGCAGCGAAACGAGGCGGAGTACAAGCGTCTGGATGTCAGCATCAAATCGCTAGAGCAGCAGATGGCCAGTAATCTGAAGCAGTGCAATATCCAGCGTGAAAAGATGCTGAAAAAGACCACAGACGAGGGAGCCGTCAAGTCACGGGAGGCTCAAATAGAAACGTCTAAGGAGGAATTGGAGGAGGCGCTTTCGGCTGAGCAGGTAATGAGCAGCCAAATCGAAGAGATTCAAGCCCAATACAATGACCTGCGAAATGAGAATGTGAAGCCTGTCGAGGCAAAGATCAAAAAAACTACCACTCAAATCGAGAAACTGTCTGCTAATATTCGCTCTATGAATGTGGCTCTGAGCAGCGCGGAGAGGAATATTGAAAAGATCACCAAAAGCAACAATAATCTGACGGAGAATATCAAGACCGCCGAGGAAAAGTTGCGCACCCTAAATGAGCAGCGACAAAGGTTCCAGGAGCATAAGGAAGATCTGGAAAAGGCAGAGGAAGAGGCGGCCGAAGCCATAGAGAATGCCAAGAGCCAATCATCAGATCTGAAGAAGCAAATCGATGAGATCACCAAGCAGGAAAATCAACGTAATATTGACCGAATCGAAATGGAGACAAAAGTGCAGAACGTAAAAGCCATAGTTGACCGCCTTGTCAAGGTGGAAATACCGGCCCATCAGGCTGAACTGAAGCCTCTCAAGCTCAACGATATCCCAGGGCAAACGGAGCCGCTGATCCCTCTTAAGGAACTAACTGAAGAAGAACTTAATGCAGAGCCGATAGCCGATATGCGGTACAAGGCAACTGTGCTCGAGGAGGAGCTGAGTAAGAAACCGAACCTGAACTGCATCAAGGAGTTCAATGAGAAGCGAAACGTTTATCTGGATCGCGTGCGCGTACTCGAAGACATCACCTCCAAGCGTAACGAGATGCGCGACAAGTACGAAGAGGTACGCAAGCGTCGCTACAAGGAGTTTATGGATGGCTTTGCCATCATAACACATAAGCTCAAGGAAATGTACCAAATGATCACACAGGGCGGCGATGCCGAACTGGAGCTGGTCGACTCAATGGACCCATTCACCGAGGGTGTTAACTTCACCGTCCGGCCGCCCAAAAAAAGCTGGAAGTATATCTCGAATCTCTCTGGCGGTGAGAAGACACTGTCCTCTCTGGCCCTGGTCTTTGCCTTGCATTATTACAAGCCTTCGCCGCTGTACTTTATGGATGAAATCGATGCGGCACTGGATTTCAAGAATGTCTCCATTGTGGCGCACTACATAAAGGTGGGTTACGACAAAGATGGATAACCCTTTGATTATATTCATTTGTAATCTATACATTGCAGGAGCGTACCAAAAATGCGCAGTTTATTATCGTCTCACTGCGCGTGAACATGTTTGAGCTGGCCAACCATCTGGTGGGCATCTATAAGGTGAATGACTGCACGGATACCATCACACTTCTGAATGTCCCGCCACAGCTGCCCGAACAGCCGCCTCGCTTGACCTGCACAATGGGTGGTTCTATTGGCAGCACCATGCTTCCAGACGCGATAGCAAACATCATGCTTCCAGACACCATTGCAGAAAACACATTGGCACGTCAGGATAATACCATTGACCCTATGGCTCCAGAGAACGATGAGAAGCGATCACCAGAAACGCAGCCACAGCAGCAGCAACTGAAGGTGGCGACCGTTGGATCGGGAAGAGATACAACATTCGCACCACCCATGGAGAGTACGGCCATCCCGCAGGCCATACAAGAAGCGAATACCACCACAGAAATGTCGCTAGAGAGCCCTCCAAGCTCGCCAAAAATGAATGATTAGATTAGGAATACTGTTTACGCAATTTTAGACCTCCGATCAGAGATATTCATTTAAATACATTAAATCTAATTAAAGCTACTCATAATCTTGGAACAAATACCCTCCAGAGCCTCGGTGGTGGGATTCTTAACAGAAGTGATGTCCTCACCGGCATCGCACGCCTTGGCAATGGCCGGATCAAGGGGCAGAGAGCCCAACAGGGGCACCTCCATTTCCGCGCACATGGCTGCAGCTCCTCCGGTTTTGGCTGGAAAAATTTCGGAGCTGTGGCCGCAGTGACCACACCGAAAACCGCTCATGTTTTCGATCACACCCACAATGGGTATCTGTTGCTTCTTGCAGAAGTTGATTTCCTTGCGCACGTCCAGCAGAGCAACCTCTTGGGGTGTGGTCACTATTATGGCATGCACTGAATCGGGTGCGCTGTCATCTTTCAGATAGGAAACCACAGACAGGTGCTCATCCGAGGTGCCGGGCGGCGTGTCCAGTAGCAGTAGATCTAGGTTTCCCCAGTCCACTTCGCTCAGGAATTGACGAATCATTCCATTCTTTTTGGGACCACGCCAAATAATGGCATCATCCACTGAGCCCAGCAGAAACCCAATCGACATCAGGCACACATTGTCGTCTATGCCCACTGGCGACCAACCCGATCCAGATTGATGAACGTTCTCTCCGAGGGCGCCCATTAGACGCGGCTGCGATGGCCCGCAAATGTCAATGTCCAACACACCGAAATTGCTGTCTGGATAACTCCTGGCCAGGTACCGCGTCAACAAAGTGGTGACTGTGCTCTTGCCCACGCCCCCTTTGCCGGAGAGGATCAACAGCTTGTGTTTGACATCCTTCAGAGCCGCGGCAACCAGAGCCTTGCCCGGATCCTCGCGTTTCTTGTTCGGATCGCTGCATATGCTCTGATTGGGACAGCCGGCACAGGCACTCACCTGTCCAGCCTGCTCGCTCTCAACGCCAGGACAGTGTTCGGGAGGAGGAGCTTGCATCGCAATAAATAACAACAATTCAATTGTGAAATAAATGGAATGCTGGTATCTTTGTGTGCTGCCAGATCGCCGTTAACATTCTGTTAACATACAGTGTTTTTAAAATATATAAACATTATCATTCGGATAAAATTATATGGTCAGGTTGGAAGTCCTAGCTAGTTAGAATATCAAAAACGAGTAATATATAATATAATAAATAATATAATAGAACTTGAATTCGTCAGTATATTCACGGTATATTTTGTTAAATGAGACCGTATATTTCGGTATATTTCTGAGCGTATATTTCTTTGGTATATTTCCGCTATCGATAAACTCCAATGGAACAAATGCTTGTCATTGCATTTCGGCACAACAACTTGGAAACTTTTTAGAAACCTGTAAAGTATATCAATAAGTGCAAGATGGAAACGCTGTTAGGTATCAAGGGTCCCGATTTTGTTATGCTAGCGGCAGACACAACTCATGCTCGTTCCATTATCGTGATGAAAGAAGGTGAGCTAGAGCACTGAATTTGTCGGCGGCCTGTGCCTCATTCGCTGGCGACATTTTACCTTTGCAGATCAGAACAAAATTCACAAGGCGTCGGACAATTTGCTTATTTCAACGACTGGCGAGTCGGGCGACACTGAGCAGTTTACCGAGTTTATCTCTAAGAATATTGCCCTGTATAAAATGCGCAATGGCTACGACCTGAGTCCTCGTGCGGCAGCGCATTTTACGCGTAAAAATCTGGCTGATTACCTTCGCAGCCGCACTCCCTACCAGGTCTTCATGTTTGTCGCTGGGTATGCTTTCGCATTCATCAAAGGTTAAGCTTATTTTATAAATCCAATCTGATTTTCGCATAGGTATGATGAAACTGACGGTGCCGAGCTGGCTTTCATTGATTATCTGGCCAATGCAAAGTCTCTGAACCACGCCGGCCATGGTTACGGTGCCATGTTCTGCTCCAGCATTTACGATCGCTACTGGCACCCCAATATTACCCAGGACGAAGCATACGATATCTTTAAGAAGTGCATTGTGGAGATCCAAAAGCGTCTGGTCGTCAATCTGAAGAACTTCAATGTCTCTGTGGTGGACAAGAATGGTGTTCGCAACCTGGAACCAATCAGTGCACAGAGCCTGACCGATTATAATGCATCTAGTTAGGTTTTCAGCATTTAAAATGCAACTTTTAAAATAAAAATGCGCCTGGGTTACTGGCTTCTTTGGTACGAATATACATAAAAAGAATCTGTTGGTATTTATTGTTCAAGATTTTATGATTTTCATACGGTCACACTAGAGCTGGCACAAAGCATTCATTGACAAAACAAAAAATATATATTTATTTTATATAAACAATATGAGCTACCTGGAACAACCGGTTGATCCACGCAATCCTCACGGACTTGGTAAGTTCTGGCTACTTATTGTCTGTGGAATCCATTAACCAGGAACTCCACCATTAGGCGACCCGAATGACACAAAATTGCGCAAGGTGGAGGTCGAGGTCCTGATACCCAAGATTATGCGCGACCGGGCAAAGGCTGAGCTCTGCACCAAGGAAGTCGCAGACTTTGAGGCGTGCTGCAAGACCAGCAGCATCTTCATGGTGGCGACATGTCGCAAGGAGAACTCTGCCCTAAGGGACTGCCTGACGCTCTGGTATCAGAACGAGGCCTTCAAGGAGGAGTGCAGGAAAATCTATTTGCAGGAACGGTCAGACTATCGCAGCACTGGCATACCCAAGAAGCACCGCGTGGAGAAAATATAGTCCTTACATAAGTATTTTGGTTGTTATTGTTTACTTTGCACGAAAGACGAATAATTGAAGCGACGTACAATTGTTTCCGTGACTGATATTTCTTTAAGCGCTTCGGGCGTGGCTATATGGGAGGAATCTTCCTTGGGTTGACCAACTGTCAGCACAGTCCGACAGTCCACAGTCAGCAGGAGTACATCCTTGTCGGACGTTTCCGCCACTCGTTGGACTCCTTTGAGGTTCTTTGGCTGGTAGTAATCCAGATCAGAGTGAGTCTGTACAATGACCAAGAAGCTGGCATGGAAATTCCGCGGGCTTTGCTTGTAGATAACTAAAGGACGGCATTACTTTAGAATAAAACGTGCATTGGTTTCCCAATTACTTACGAAAGTCTCCGCCAAATTTGATTCCACTCTTGATCACCCAATTTTTTGATTTCAAATACAAATAGCATGCCAAATTCTCAAGAAATCTATCGTTTAGATCCTGCGCCACTTTCAGGAATCCTTCCCAGTCCACACTTGTGCCCGACTGGTTCTTTATTTCGAGTACTTTCAAGTAGTAGGCCAGAAAACAAGACTCTTCCAGTCCAAGAAGCAGCGTTTCATCTTCATCACCCGATGCCGGTCCACCTCGAGATTTGCTGCCTTTTCCATAGCAGCCATTGTCATGGAGCGACTGTGACTGGGTAGAATCTGATATCTCCACAGAGAGTCCTGTAAGGACGCCGTGATAGCGCTCGCCCTGCTCACAAATGGGAAACGGCGTTGCATTGGAATTTCTAAAATTGCAACGCTTTTTTTTGCATTGAAATGTGAACTGCATACTTGAATAGTTGCCTATCGACTACAATGTCGATAGTGCGAGGTAATAACACATCTGTATATTTTACGATAATTTACGTTTTGAAAAATAGCATATATGCAAGTGTGCTGTAACAGTGTGCTCTTGTGCGCATAAAACATATGACGAGGCTGGCACCTTGCTTTCTTTGTCGTTTCATTTTCATATACAATTAACGAAATAGGGTATGCAAAGGCCTATACACGCATCAGGTCTTCAAATACCAGCAACACTGCGACTGTTTTTTTGGTTCTTTTGTTTAAACCTTGCTTTAGACAAAGTAAAATAAAAGCAAGGACTAAAAACTAGCCAGTTAAGTGGAGAATTGTTTCATCAATGTTCTAAAATTATGTGGGCAGGGCTAAATGTTCTATATAGTTAGTAATATTCGACGGAAGATCAAAATCGGAATATGTAAAATAGAACTTGAATTCGTCAGTATATTTCCGGTATATTTTTAAAGTAAGACGGTATATTTTGGTATATTTCTGAGGGTCAGACGGTATATTTTGACAATAAGTCCGCGGTCACACTGGGCCAGTCACAAGACCAAAGTCAGCTGAATTTTCTGTTCGTAGTAGTGTGAAAATCACTTGGTAATTTAATAAATTTTCATAAATTCTGTGCTCGAATTCGTGTGCCAGAGCGACACCCCATTTTGCGAAGGATCCATCTGTTTAGACAAGCCAGCACAATGACTACCGCTTTGTATTTGCCCGAGGAAAACATCGGTAAGTTTTCCCGAACCGACCTCTGCGAAAAATCGAATCTGTAGTGTGTGTGTGAGGGTGGGCTTTGGGCTGGCCAGAGCAGCACCCTCACCTCGCCCCTAATTGTGAGGTTTTCATTTGCTTTTTCCAGACATGATTGCTGCCACCTCGGTGCTACAGCAACAAGCAGCTGACATTCGCACCAAGACCATCAACTGGGCCTCTTATATGCAGTCGCAGATGATCAGCGAGGAGGATTACCGTGCCATTAGCGCACTTGATAAATCACGCGCCGCCTTTCTGGCCCAAAACTCCAGTCAGGTGGTCAAGACTCTGCTGAATCTAGTCTCGCATCTGTCCAAGGACTCCACCATCCAGTATATACTCGTATTGCTGGACGATCTGCTGCAAGAGGATCGCTCACGTGTCGATCTCTTTCACGACACGGCTGGCAAGCTGAAGCAGTGCATCTGGGGTCCCTTCCTGAACCTACTGAATCGTCAGGATGGCTTCATCGTCAACATGGCGTCCCGGATTCTGGCCAAGTTCGCCTGCTGGGGTCATGAGACCATGCCCAAGTCTGACCTGAACTTCTACTTGCAGTTCCTTAAGGACCAACTGGCCAGCAATGTGAGTACCATTCCATCTGTGATTAGCGTTGCCCAGTGCATGTTTAGGCTGGGAGAGATGCGCAGTGCATGTGTGGAGGCTATTCAAGATTTTGTAAATGCTGCACTGGTGGTAAACCCTACTCAAAGAAGAGTTATTTTATGAACATTCAAGGATTTAACTATCCTTTTTTTTTTTTCAACAAATCAGAGCAAAACTTGTTTTTTATATCTGTAAATCGATCGAACCTATCCTATGGCATGATATAGCATGGCTGATTTTACGAATACCTGACTCCAGTTGAAACCGTCTGATAGGAATAACGAATATAATTTTTGGTCCGACTAACGACTCATCAATTCACTTGTTGTCAATACTTGAACCACTAAAAACCCGTCTTAAATTGATATCCTAACTCTGTTTAATTCGAATTTATATGTTTTTGTGCATGCTTTGGCAATTTTGCTTGCTTAAACTAAATTAAGACCAAACCAAACCAAAAATGAACCCGACAATACGATACACTCGTAAGAAAAAACTCTGCAAGGAAGCAGTCGTCGTTGTCATTCAGAGACACCACCCACACCACCACCCATCGTCAAACCACAACACACCCCCCTTAAGAACTCTACAAATGAGCCATCTCTTCAACTTTAACAGCTTGTTTTTGAATATTGAACAACATTACGCTCTCTTCTCATCAGCACACTGAATTTTGTCATAAAACCACATTCGATTCGTGTATACCATATACTGAAATTGTCTGATACTTCATCTCGATCATTCCATTCCGTGCTGCCGTTCCCGTTTCGTGAGTCACGTGTCACCACCACAGCGCGAAAGCACCAAAGCACCACAGAAGGTCGATCATTTTGTTAATTATTTTGTTGTCTTGTCCATCTATTTACTATTTGTTCTGCTGCACTCTTGAACTTCTCTGAACCAATGTATTTTAATTTATATGCAATTTACCATCTACAATATCGATTAAACTCTCGATATGTCGACGTCCATCGTCTCTCTGTGGATGATCTGATCTGATCTGGTCCCCCCCACCAATATATGACCCCTACTGCCCCCGACCCAGAGCACATCCTATCTGCAAGAGATGGCTCTACTGGCCAAGCGGACCCAGACCATACTCGTGCACACCCACGGACTCCATGGCAATAGCAAAGACCACCATGGCAACCAATACAGTCCCAGTCTGGCGCAGCTCCAGCATCAGCATGAGCAAGAGCTGGTCGTCTCTGCCAACGAGAGCTATCGGCAGGTGCCCAACAGCAGCGAGCAGGCGCATCAGCAGGAAAGCAAATGTGCTATACCGGTATTCCAAATCACAGAAAGAAAAAAAAAACAATGCAAATAATTGCGACCATCAGAAAACCAAACATTTATTTACACACCCACAAACACTGATAAATAATCACACACAAACACACCAGGAGAGCAGAGGCGCTGAATGAATTTCGATAAGATTAACGGTCGGTAGCTGTCTGAAATCGATGGCTTGTTATCGTTCTTTTCCATTGACAATTTGAAGGCAGACAAAAGCTTAGAAACTTGAAAAATATAACAATGGCTAACATTAGTTTAGATTAGATTCCAAACTAGGAATCTTTCTTACAAAATTAAGACGGTATGTTTTCCCTTATTTATCTAAATTAGCGCCCCAATCAGTAAAGAAATTACCGTCCTCCCTACGAAGTCTACTTGAAATATATCTTCTTAAGATGTTATTTCAAACTTTTTCAATCAAAATTAACATCCAAGTGTCTGTCTGTCCGTCCAAAACATATACGGTTAATGAACTAAGAGGATTATGTACCCCACTGTTTTCAATTAATTTCGATAATACACGCCGACTGCATTCCGTTTTGTGCGTTTGTGTGGCGATTATTCGAGTCGTAACTGTTTACTAACCAAACTAATAACGCGTGAGGAGCAAGCAGGAGAAGGCGCATCCGTATGTCACGCCAAGGAAGCAGTGTTGTCAAGCAGTGTATAAAATCATTAAAAGGTGGTGCAACGGTAAACCCAAAACTGGTGCTGGTGAAAAAGTACACTAAATCAAGCCCCAAAATACCCCATTCAACAATTCAAATACAAGAACAAAAGAAAGAAACAAAAAAAATCAAACGGTGTAAGGAACAAAAATCTATACAATTCTCTATATGTGTCGTCACCCCCGACCCCCGACCCCCACTCTCTCACTCTCTGTGTTATTCTCAGATTCTCTTATTGTGCGTAGCTTGTAGTAATTCGTTGTTGTTGTAGCTAGTAGTGAAACATGTGTAGATTTCAGCTGATATCGAGTATCGTCATAACTAACACCGCTAACGATCATACCAGCATCGTAGAGTTCACAAAGTCACAACTAATCGTTCCGTCATTTCGTGATCCCCCAGAACAACGAGTACATTCAGTCGGTGGCCCGTTGCCTCCAGATGATGCTGCGCGTCGATGAGTACCGTTTCGCGTTTGTGGGTGTTGATGGTATCAGCACTCTGATCCGCATTCTGTCGACTCGCGTCAACTTTCAGGTGAGTTTGAAATTGAAATGTGTAAATTGTTTGTGCCAATTTAAATTCGATTTCTTATTCATAGGTGCAATACCAGCTGATCTTCTGCCTGTGGGTGCTGACCTTCAACCCCCTGCTGGCCGCCAAGATGAACAAGTTCAGCGTGATCCCCATACTGGCCGATATACTGAGCGATTGTGCCAAGGAGAAGGTCACGCGCATTATCCTCGCCGTCTTCCGCAATCTGATCGAGAAGCCCGAGGACTCATCGGTGGCCAAGGACCATTGCATTGCCATGGTCCAGTGCAAGGTGCTGAAGCAGCTGTCCATACTGGAACAGCGTCGCTTTGACGATGAGGACATCACCGCCGATGTGGAGTATCTGAGCGAGAAGCTGCAGAACTCGGTCCAGGATCTGAGCTCCTTCGATGAGTATGCCACTGAGGTGCGCAGCGGCCGTCTGGAATGGTCGCCGGTCCACAAGTCGGCTAAGTTCTGGCGCGAGAATGCCCAGCGCCTCAACGAAAAGAACTACGAACTGTTGCGCATTCTGGTACATTTGCTAGAGACCTCCAAGGATGCCATCATTCTATCCGTTGCCTGCTTCGATATTGGAGAGTATGTGCGTCACTATCCCCGCGGCAAACAGTAAGCTCAAAATACATTCTCTATTTGTGCTCTCATCTTAATCGGATCTCTCGTTTCCAGTGTCCTGGAGCAATTGGGCGGCAAACAGATTGTGATGCAGCATCTGGGCCATGAGGATCCCAATGTGCGGTACGAGGCCCTGCTGGCCGTTCAGAAGCTGATGGTACACAACTGGTACGTACGATTGCTGGACTCGCCAACTCTCATTCCTGCCCATATATCCATCTCTAGGTGTTGTGATATAATACCCCAAAATTCATATCCATCTCAAGATCCATTCAAAATTCAATGTATTCAATGCTTCTCTCTATATTTATTAGGGAATACCTCGGAAAGCAGTTGGAGAAGGAAAACGAGAACCAGAAACAAGGTGCTGCCGTCATTACTGGCAAGGCCTAAGACCCCCAATCCAACATCCATGCACAAATACACTACAAAAAATCTACCTACATATTTTTTAGCCAGGCCGCCAGCCAGCAAAACTTAACCAACAATAAGAGCTGCGGAGGGGCATCGCATCCTCCACTTCTCCTCTCTCCACATTTTACATGATGTTTGTTCGTGCTAAATTTAAGCGCATGTTTGTTCCCTGTTTAAACTAAGTTCTTGTTAGTCCATCCCCTGCCCAAGGCCAGCCCCATAGAACGCGTATTGAGAGAACAATTTGATTTTTTGTTGGCATTCCAAAAAGACAGTTCAAATAGTGGCAAAGAAAATACAGATGCATACGAGTATATCCCCTACGATAGCCCCATTTGATTGTTTACATATTTTGTTGTTATTATTATTATTTGTGTTCTTACTTTTTATGTGTGCGCCGCTGTACAGAGTTTTTTGTCTAAACCAGATGATTATGCACTTCTATTGTATTATAATCGCCTCTGCGCACCCACAAAACAAAACAAAACAAAAACTAAAGAAATCGAAAATATATTGTAAAAAGAACCTATCAAGTATTTCTTTCATTTTAAATTAAAATAAATAAGCGAAAATGGAAATGTTAAATGCATTAACCAATTGTTATTAAAGTGTATGATACACATTTTTGCGAGTGTAAAACAAAAAATATACATAAACTAGCGAAATATATTGAAAATCGAAATTTTATTGTTCTACAATAAGTGGGATATTCGGTAATCATGAATAAAAGAAGAGTATTCCATTCTGAAATAGTATGTATGATATGAGCTAATCTTTAAGAGAGGATTTCAGTTTGTATACCAATTTTTGTGCTCTCTTTTGTTATCTACTTCATAGAATCGTGATTCAATGTGTGTTTTGGTTTCTCTTTGAGAAGTGGTTCCATAGTTCAATATCAGGTGTTATTTAAGGCACGAGATATTGGAACTAAGTGCCTCTCTTTATTGTATGGTAGCAGTAACTACTACTAGCATAGGTCTTTAGCACGTGATGTGGGAGGGGTTTCTCTTTATTAATTAAGCTTGAATGAAATGTTATCAGAGAAATATTTCTTGCACAATTTCTCTTTCTTGAATTTTGAACCATATTTGTATGATTAGCTGTTCGGAATTGCTAAGTTGAATAAAACCCTATCAGAGAAATATTGATTTATAATCTACAAGTTTTGACTATGGAAGCTTTGAATTGGCATTAATAAGTGCAAATTCTATCAGTTTAGTTTTTGTTTGCAATCTAAAATTTCTCTTTATCGTTTAAGAAACCAATGTGTCCGATTAAGAGTTGGGAGTTCCCTTAAAACTTATAGACCTCTTTCCCGGTACTCTTTGTTACGTGCAAGTTACTGGGACCTAAAGATCAACGAAAGCAAATAGTTTTCCTTCCTTCCAATAGAACAAAAATGCCGACAGTTTTATTTTTGTTTTTGTTTTTTGTTATTATTTAACTTTTTGTTGTTTTACGTGGTTGTCACAAGTTTCCTCAGCTTTAAATTAAGTATTCCACTTTTTATTTAAATTAAATAATAAATTTTCCTATTTAAACTTTATAATTAACATAATTGTAGTTTTTAGGTCTGTATGTAATTGTTGCTTCTGCTGCTGTTCATATTGTTGGTGTTGCTGTTGGATTGTGACTGAACACAATAATACATCCTGTTGTTGGGGTGGTGAGGTGATTGAAAGTAGAGGCTCCTTATCAGGAGGCGCCTTACTTGGTGGCAGACTTCAGGTAGGCAATCAGATCACCGCGCTCATTGGGCTTCTTCAGACCGGCGAAGATCATCTTGGTGCCGGGGATGTACTTCTTGGGGTTCTCCAGGTACTCGAAGAGGGTATCCTCATTCCAGGTGATTCCCTTGGCCTTGTTGGCGTCCGTGTATGCGAAACCGGCAGCCTGGCCAGTCTTGCGACCGATCAGACCATGCAGATTGGGACCAACCTTGTGCTTGCCACCAGCCTCCACGGTGTGGCACTGTGCGCAACGCTGCACGAACAGCTTCTTGCCCTTCTCAACATCACCAGCTGGAACGCCCATTATGGATTATGTGTGTGTGTTTTATGTGTTAACACGGACTCGACTAAAAGGTTGAAGAAAAAGAAAATCAATGATTAGTAGGTGCCGTGAAAAAGGTTTTTGTCCCATTGCCCCGTTATGTAAACAGGTGATAAGCAATGAGCGGAAACTAGAACCTGTTCAAAATGCATTACGCGGGTGTATAAGCTCTGTGATAAGGTAAATACTAATTGGAATACAATGCCATTATCTAACTGGTATTTTAGCTTATCTACGCACCCTTCCGCATCTCAAAAGTCCACGCGTGCTCCATTCAACGTCATCAGCACTCACACACAGACATACACACCCACAGACATCTCGAAAAAGCTTCAGACAGACGATTCTACTCTGGTCACATGTTGTTGCCCTCTCTCACACACGCTTTCGAAGTTCGCCCTCGTCTGACTTTTGACGGTGTGAGAATTACTCATTGCGTCAGAATAATTTTTTTGCTCAGCAACAGGCTAACTTCAGTTGGAAGCATCGTCCAATGGAAAACTTTAATTGTTTATATAACCATCGCACAAAAAAGCGATGGATCAGCAGGGTCTATGTTATGGTCAAATTCCCAATGCAGCTAATTGCGGTGCATGCAACTATTTGAACTTGAGAGCGACACAACAATTCGCCCCCAGAGAGGGAGAGCATGAGTACAAAGTGCCGTTGCAGAGAGGCAAGGCGCTTTCATATAGGGTGAGGCACTCGCACTATTTCTCTATTTGGGTGACTCGAAAACTGAAACCAGAGGGGGAGACTAGCTTTGGTGAGTTAAGCTTTCGTTCCCTTACAGATCGACCGTTCTGGAAATCCGTAGAACGCAGTCTGAAAATTTTGCACCCTGTATTCATACACTTTGGGTTCATTAATGAGTAAGTCACCTACACAAACGCACGCAAGCACACGGAGTGGGGGAGATAAATTACATGAAAGGCAACAGCAATGTCAACGTCTGGTTTGGTGGTGGCCTTGAAGAGAGAACTTTTCATTTAGCACTGCGTGAGTGTGAAAAACCACTTTTCCCCCTATAGAAAGTGCAATTGGAAGGGGGCCAAAGGCAGCCGAGAGAATGAGAGATGAGTGAAAACTAGGACAGCATAGCAATTTCCTCTCCACACAGAATGTTACATAAGGCAACTCCTGTAAAGGTGAAATCTTCTTTTGCAACAAAAATTGATGGAGCATGCATCGCGGAGAGTGTAAAACTCGTTTAGCCACCACGTGGCAGGCTTAGTGGAGCTGGGAAGCATGCATAAAAATTCCAAGAACTCATATTCTTTTTTGCCAAAGCGAAAGAGAGAGGACAAGCTGATGATCGGGCAACGTTCTCTCTCTCTCGCTCTACTGTTCATGTAATCGTCTCGCGCGCGAAGCTCTCTTTTTCAATGGCAAAATGTGACTTCCAGGCTATTTTTAAAATTAATAAGTTATTGCTAACTTTTGCACTTGGAAAATTCTAACACAATTTTTCGTAACAAGCTCTCGCACTTGTATAGAAATCCCACTCTCATATACACTCACAAGGACTAGTTTATGTAACCACCGAATCAACCCCCAAAAAAATGAAATTATTCGCTTGCGAATCGAATCTATTCAATTCGTTTGTACAGCTGTAAATTATGCAAGAGCCATGCGGAAGTTACAAATTTTCCGTTATTATCTGTCTTGAGACCTTGTCATTGTATAGCGCTGGCTAATATTTACGTCACTTTAATTTTTCATTAAAAACACCCACTACTTACATTGAACACAAACCGTTGCTGCGGACAGTTATTTTGCGAATGAATAGTCCGTGAATATTCGCGTTTCGATTCAATTCGATTGAATAAACTTAACCCACTCAACCCCCCTCTATTTAAAAATGTTAAAAACCTGAGTTAAGCTGCGGAAAAAACTGTTTGTGAATTATTCTTGTAGATTAATCCTTCCTTTTCCACTACAATCAACATTTCCACTATGTATTTCACTTGAACTGCACTAAAATTGTTCGTTTCATAATTTTCGAGGAGTTGATTTTTCCACTGGTCTACAATGGGTTAATCGTTCTCTGTCCATGATCGAAAACCATATTCTTCGATTTTGATGTTCGGTTTACTATTACTAGCTAGATAGCACACTTTTCTCTGACTACATAAATTTATCCCATTGATGAATACATTTTCTACAAAATAAGCAACTTTTAAGTACTTTTTTTTTATTGTATTCTGTTTAAAACAAGGTTTGAACAAAACAAGGCAACAAAAAACAGTGGAAACGTAAGTGAGTATGTGCGCTTCTATACCATATTTCGTAAATATAATATGGTTTTCCAAGTTGCTTTCAAACGTAATTATTAAAAACATTTTCGCAGATTGATATGTTTTAGACGTATTCATTCATACATATTCTTGGTCATATTCAAAATATCGTTGTGATAGCTTTAAAACAGAGACTGACTAGTTTCTGCATATCTTGGAGCCTCATATGACAAACATTCTCTTAGTTCTATAATATCCATTTCTAGGGTATGCAGATCCGCGCCATGTTGAGGGATATACTGTCCATCCATATACGATACCATCTTCACTCGATACTTTTGCGCTAAGATGCTCACTGCTACAAAAATATCACACAGCCCTGTTAGCCGCGCATTTGAAATAAAATAGCTTCTGCTTATCTTTTTTTTACATTTTCTTGCAGTTTAATAAAACGTTTAACAATCATTTTCTTGTATATAGTATAAGTCTGTAAGTGTATGTTTTTTATCTGTGTGTATATTGTTAACATTACATCATAAGATTTAGGGCTGGTTGGGAACCATTTTCTCTGTATACATATATCATTATATCAGTGTAGTGTAGTGTAGAATCAGTTAATCAGCGTATACAATTTCTGATTCTGTGTGCTAATTCGGTAAGCCTATGATATTTGGACAGTTATTTTATCTCAATGTATTATTTAAATGATTATATGTAAGGCGGTTTCACTTTTTGCGGAAACCTTTTCCTCTCCATATATCATTATATCAGTGTAGTGTGGTGTATAATTGAATCAGTTAATCAGCGTATAACATTTGTGTTGTGTTGTGATATTTGGACAGTTATTTTCATGTAGGGCGGGTTAACTAATTGAAGTAGGTGTGTATACATTTATATTCTTGGCATTAACGTTTGTATTGTGTTGGTCAAATGAGCTACTTTTGACACAGGTGTGTGCATATATTTATATTCTTGGTATTAACGTAGGGATAGTGTTAGTGTATGTGTAGTTGTTGTTTCGAAATGTTTTACTTATTTTTTTTAAGGTATGCAATCAAATCGGCACGGTCTTCGGCCTTTTTGAGTCCTGCGAAAACCATCTTAGTGCCGGGTATGTATTTCTTTGGATCCTTGAGGTACTCGTCCAGCGTCGAATCGCTCCAAACAACGCCCTTCTTTTGATTAGCATCTGTGTATTTGAAGCCCGGAGCAGAGCCGGATTTGCGTCCCACAATGCCGCTTAGATTGGGGCCAACCTTGTGCTTGCCCCCCGATTCGACGGTGTGGCACTGGGCGCACTTCTGTACAAAAATCTTCTTGCCGTTGTCTGCATCACCGCCCCCCATCGTGGATCACTGCAAGAAAGAGAAAGTGGAAACGGTTTAGAGTGGTGTGGGTGGGGATGTCCTCTAAGCCCATGCCATCATTGCCTTCACCGCACATGGCCCCCACTCAAGGACACTTCCGTTAATAAGTGAAAGGGTCTGTTCGGATGCGTGAAGCTGGGGGCATGCGTGGGCACATCAATATATACATATACATATGTATGTATGTACGTGTCCAACTGCAGTATATTGTCGTGACACAACCATTTGAAAGTCCAACCCACCAGAAAAAACCTTTTATCTAAGCCAAAATCTAGTGAAAACAATTCCTGTTACCAAATTTTGTATGATTTATTTGATTGAAAATGCCAGTTGATGACAACTGCCAAAGAGAGAGAAACAGCGACAGCGTCATCTGAAAAAGTGTTTTAGTATAAGGTGAGGTATTGCTAGAATTCGCTCTTACAATAATCGCCTATGTTAAGACTCGCTGAGAAAAGCCAAAGCATGAGCGTGAGTGCTTCACCTTAAAAAAATAAAAAAGACTGGCAGCGGCACTGGCAGTGGACTGCGCTCTGACGCGCTCTGACGCGCTCTCTTAGCTGCACATAGGGAGACAGCTGCAAATGTACAAAGCGAAACGAAATTGGGTCAGGAGGAGCAGAGAAAGAAGAAAACAAAAATGAATAAAAATTGATATTAAATGAAAAGCAAAGCAAAGAGCCACACACATGCACACAGCTCGAGAGCTAGGCGGCATTTCTAACGGGAAAAGTAAACGAAAGGTAATTCAATTAGCAGTGCAGCATCCCTCCTCTCCCCACCCCACTCCACCCCATCGCAGCAGCTGCACATGTGCTTTGAACATTTCCTTTCAATTAAAACGCATTTTACGCATGTTCTTCATCTTCCTGCTCTCCCTCTCGATACAATGCGGTGGCAAAAACACATGCCTTTCAAAGAATGGCAGGGTAACTTCGGCACTCCGAGTCGTTTGATACCCTTTCCCCCTTTTGACTTGACTTTCAAATGATTTTACATATTTTATCCAACAAAACATAAACTTTGTGGTGTCGAAGGGGTTTCCTTCTTTTGCTTTGCAAACAACTGGACCCAATCACGGTATTAAACAAGGGTATTAAAACAAAAGAAAGACAGTGGGAGCAAAAGTTGACTTACTCGGATATGATTAAGGCCCTGGCCAAACGATGCTGCTGAGGTAAAAGCATGAAAAGGCATGGAAGTACTTAAGACTCTTAGTAAATGAGAGTGCGGATGTGATGTAGGAAGTACAAAATCATAACGGTAAGTGCTGCTGCTGCTGCTGAGGCTATCCAGGCCCCTCGCACAGGTGTTTTACTCTACCCCGCCCCTCTCTCCATACCCATGACCTAACATAATTTGCAATGGAACCATAAATTATACGCAGATACAAGTATCCTGGGTCCTGGCTCGACTGGCTCCATTCCACCTCCCTTCTTTTCCTTCCTGACCCCTATAAATAAATGGCGCACAAAATTAAATTACGCTTGAACTGGCTGCAGTGTGAGCAGAATGAGAGAAGGAGAGGCTACGGGTGTATTGTTTTGCTAGATCTATTGCTGCGGAAGTCCATAAAAAGGTGCACGAGAGGTTGTTCAGGATTTGGGTCATTTTGCGAGACTGCAAATGGGAAAGCAACCGGAATGCGGATGCGGATTTTTCCAAGGGATATCCAAAGCGTGTGCGGGGGACAAGGAATACTTAGAAATAATTTCCCGTTTCATCAAATAGTCATAACCTTCTCCCTCCCCATTCATTCCTGGTCAGCAGGTTACCAAGAACCAACTCTGTGGCTGTTGCGCAATTTGGCATGACTTTGATGTTACCCCTACCACACACTGCATTGCCTCAACTCCCCCCCAAGCACTAATCCCCTACCAACCCCTTTCCCCACACAACCATTTCGGGTTTCCGTGGCCTGCATGGCAAAAACCCTACATTTCTTTTTGCTCTTTCGCTCTCTCACAGCATGTTTATATTACGCGCTTTTCGCTGCTGCTTCTTCTTGTGGGAGAGGGGCCTGCGGGGATGTTCTTTTCTAGAACGAGGTCGCTGACTGCCCTTCAACGATGCCTGAGACATTGCTGTTCTTCGATGCCCCAAAAGTTACATAAGCCCCCAACAGAAACAACAACTAGTTGGCTTTGCATTTTATGCTAGCACACAGAACGAACGAGCGAGAGAAGAGAGAATTGGAGATTGGGAGAGGAGCATGGCAGAGAGCAAGCTGCAGCCCGGCAGCACGTCAAAGCGTGAGAGCGCTGGCTGAGAGGCGAATGTGTGAATGAAAAATTGCTAAAAATGCTTCATTTCAGGCAATTTATAACTGTTTTTGCTCTGAGCAGCGCTGCACTCAGTGACGCCGCTGTCGCCGCTGCTTGAATGAATTTCAGAGAGCCAAATGCAGCGATAAGCAACAACAAACTTACCTGCTGGACTGCTCTCTCTCTCTCTCTGTCACGCTGCTTGTTGCTCGGCCGCCCACTGTTGGCGCTCGCTCTGTAAGTTTGGGCCGTCGGCTGTCGGCTGTCGGCTGTCCCTGTTTCTGTTTCAGCTGCGCGACGCGTTGTCATTCACTCAGCAGAGCTCGCCGCGATTAGTTCTTTCGATTCCCTAACGGTTTTTGCAATCCGAAAAATTACACTCCGAAGCTCGAAAATATTTTAATCGGAAAAATATAACTTTTGAAACAACAACTAGACGTTTGACGAATATTTTGTCTGGAACTGAAAATTTGTTTGAGGTCTATCCCCTGCAAAATATATTTGTGTACTGATTTCTGAGCTGTACTCGATTCTACACAAATCTTATTTGGAAGCCCAAGCCCAAAATTAAAGTCAGAGCCTACGCATTCGACAAGAAAACAATCAAAACGCTACAAATAGGAAGCTGCCTTAACAAAAAGGGAGCTGCCAACTTGCATTTTACGGTAAGTTTGCTGCTATCTTTATTTCCAGTGTTGTATAACGTTTTGTGGGACCGTGTGTTTTTTCGTGTTGCGTGTGTCCTTGCGGGGGCTGCACGTGTCCTTGAAATTCGTCAAGTGGTTCGTTTTCTCTTTCTATCTCTATCCCTTTCTTTCTATTTCTTTTACGCATTTTACGTAATCACGAAAAAAAGTTGTATATTTTGTGTGTTTCCCACTCGAGCGTAAATCACGACTCGTTTTTCATTTGGTTTTATGGGGCCCCGCCACCCCTCCCCCTTCCATTAAGTTTTTTGTCGCATTTCCCTTAGAAGTTCCGATTTGAATGAGGGGCTTTTTCGACTTCCGCATTTTCTAGCTAAGCCCCGATTATCCCGTCCAGGGTCCTCTTACCTCTTATCGCAGAAGGACATCGAGATGTGCAGGGGGGCGCCTCAACATGAAAGGGAACTTGCAGACTTTTTTTCTTTTGATGGAAAATGTAGTGAAAAAGCTGGGAAATTGATTTTCGTAGGAAAGAGGAAAAGTAGGTTATTACAATATTATTCTAAGGAAGTAGGAAAATGGCTTATTATTATTTATTATTATGTGCTGGGGGGAAAATAGCACTCGTATGTCAAAAAAAGGAATATCTTAGTAAAGTTGGTTTTATAGGGAGAGATGGAGGATGATCTGCGGTTTTATGTGAGGTTCTAGATTGGCATTGATATGATATAATGAAAATTAATGTATGAATATAAATACATATATATGTATGTACTTAATCCATGAAAGTTTGAAATATTTCTTGGAAAATTTCTTTTGAATTTAATGAATTCTTTCAATATAAAACTTTGCCTTCCAGTTCGTTATCCTCTTGATTAAACACAATATTTGTTGCAAAAACTTTGAAAGAAACCATTTCTTCGCACTTACGTGAACAGAACGGAATAAAAAAGAAGAATTTTTGAAGAAATTCCTTCTCTCTTTCTGCTTTATGGCCGTTGATTACTTTTGGCCCCACCACTCCTCATCCATCCGCCCACAAATAAGTTCACATGAAAAGTTTTCCAGGGCTTTCCCTGCACACTGCACCCCACAGGGCCAGTGCCAGTGCCAGTGCTCCATTTCAATTATGTCACTTCATCTGTATTCCGTGCACCAGATGAGAGGTACCTTGCCCTTCCCTTCGTTTCCCTTCCCTTGCTCTTCCCTCATTCTGGCACCACTTTATTAATCATTTTTGCCCTTTGTTTATCCGACTCGACTCACTCGCGTGAGTCGCGCGGATTGTACATATTTGGGCCAATGAGCATTCTGTGGAATGGCCTTTTGTTATGGGCCGCATTTGGTTCACATGCTGCCATGCCTTACAACCACCCCCTCAGCCACCCAGCATCCACATGAATTACAGCATAAATGTTGAGGAATTGTTATAATTTAATTAATTTGTTTTCTCTGCACGGCAGAGAGACATTCATAAAGCGAAATAATTAATATTCATCAAGTGACTTTCTGTGAACGACTTAATGATAACGAGCCAGCAGCATTTAGGCCACAAATCGAACATTTTGTCCATTAAATACATAACGTTTTAACAGCTGTTGGGGGGACAATCCCTAAAAAGAAGTGGCTTTTGTTCGTGCTAGCGTAGCTCCACTGTATGTACTTACCATATCATACTCCAGAGGAAAACCAAAACCGATTCCGATTTAGGTCAACTCCTCTGTTGGGGCATTCGTTTCTTATCATATCGTAAAGTGCACTTGGCATCCCTCGACCGAAACTATTACCAACATATGGGGCAGACACACACTCCCCCCGCCCCTCACTGAAGCTTATCAAAGTTTGTCGTTTGTATTATTACATTTATCACACTACCCGGAAAAGAGGAGGAAATCAATATTTGCTCTTCAAATCCAAAAAAAAGCAGAAACGCATAATGAAAATGAAAAGAAAACCAAATAACAGACCAGATTAAATCGTTCAAACTTCAATTTTGTATGGGCAGGAGAGCGCGGCGGGGGGATAAACTGATAAGAAATGCAAGCACTACCTAAATACTCCTTCCCGTCCCACCTCCATCTCCCCCCCCTCCATCTCCAAAAGAATGAGGAGGAGGAGTAACAGTCGAAGTAAAAGTTGGAGTAAATGTAGAAGGAGAGCCACAAAAAGTAGACCACAAATATCATCAATGACAGCAACAAATTGCTGGATGCCATGCCCCCCTTCCCTCCCCCACCCCTCACCGCTGGGAACAAGCATACTTATGTACTATTTCCCCACCTACGATAATGGTCTAAGCGGAACTGGATAGAGGAAAAGTAAGATAAGAAGAGAGAGATGTGTGTGTGTTTGGAAATGGAAAAGTTTCGTATTTATTTTTTGATTTTATGATGAATCATGAAACAGAAGACAAAGTTCTTGGGATTTGATCTATTGCCATATATGTATTTTTATAACCATAATTTATATTAAAACTTTGAAACCGTAGAAGCAAGCATTTCAGACACTATATATATAAGATAAGGTATTGAATTTCCTGAATTAAATAAAAATCGAAGTCAAAACCTAGCGAACGGTTATTTCTGAATGAGATAAAAGGTCTAAAAAGGCCAATAAATCCTTCCCTCTTGCCAATTCAAAGATAATGAGATAACTTTTCCTTGTTTATTTCCAACTAAATTCAATTAACCAAAAACGGAATTACTCACAAAAACAAAAGGAAGAACAGAACACCCAACAGAAATACCATCTACCAAAATGAGCCTTGTCACTCAAATCTCGATAAAAGTTCAACGTTGTTGAGTTATGGATGGAATGGAATGGATATGGACAGGGCTAAGAGGAGGAGCCTTTGACTGATTGAGATTAGCTGTGGAAATTAATGAGAAGGCATCCGTTTTGGGGCTTCATTGGGCTTACAATAAGCCCCAAAAACAATTTTGCCAAAACAAAAAAAAGCCTGAAGGTCGAACCGACTCGAACGATGAGCGGCATAAATTATTTACAACAATTTACACATTTAAGCCAGAGGAAAACAAAGGCGTGGTCGGAGCCTAGGCTCCCGGAAAAGCCAGGGTAGGAAAATTCAGTAAAAAAAACTCCAAAAGCGTGTCAAATGGAAATTGAAAATGGTCAACGGGACAAACGAGAGGAAATTCACAAACTGACAGACAGACAGGCAGGCAGAGGAGGGCCGGAAAGAAGGGAGTGTGGAAATGCCCTGTCATGTCAATTAGATTTAATCGAAAATCGATACCCCATGATGCTTGAGCTTGCAGCGAAAGGTCACCGGAAAGGTTGATCCACAATATGCAAAATATGTCGGCCAGGCGCTGACCGTACGCGTACCCGAGACGAGTCTTAGCGTGTGTGTGGTCTCTGAGAAACTACCGAGTCATCTCTGTTTATCTTTCGAAGGCTCTTCAAGTACTCGTAAATGTTCTGAACTATGCAGTTGCCACGTCGGATAAACACTTGAGAAAAACCCCGTCAAGTGAGGAAAATCATTGGAAAAGCCCACATTCGATGGCGTACACAGCAGAAGGTTCCGAAAAGTAAGCAGAGACAGGCAACACACTGGTTCAAAGGTCCAAGGAAACAGATTAAAGAAGGGCGGGGAAAAAATGTATGCCATTTTATGGTAAAATTTACTAAAGAGTTAAAAGAGAAAATTAGTAAAACTTTCGTGCTCCCTTGCTCCCATTTCTTGCTCTTTCGCAAATGCGAAAAGTACCGAAAAGTACCACATTGCTGCTGTAATCTTTTATTTTCTCTAAAAAGAATTTCATTTGAATATCTGAAATTTCCAGCACATTTTTCCAACGTGAAACCACTGTGCCCGTGATTTGAACTTCAATTGAAATTTAATGTGTTATTTTCCTAACATTTGAAATTCATTTGTTTTTTATTTGTTTTAAATTTCATTCGATTTGTTTTATTGTTGTTGGTATTTTCTTCATTTGAATTTCATTTGGGTCTTAATTTTCGTTTACTTCATTAGTAATTCATTAATTTTGTTCGAGACCATTTTATGGGCCATCAAATGATGCACAGAAAATTGTTCAGTGGCCTTCCCTCCATTAGCAATACGATCTATCGCACTCTCTCTCTCTTACACTATCGCTATCTCCCCCACTGTATCTTTCTTTTGCTCTTCAGTTTTTTCCGGCTTTATTTCGTTGCGGTTCAGAGAGAAGAGCTGAGAGCCGCATTTCTTATCAGGCTTGAAAACAAAAAGATTTTCCCATCATTATGTAAGAGGTTAAATCGACTATAAAACCATGCTTGGCGTCCCCTCTGGCCCTCACTTCTACCCCCTCCATCGCTAACGAGGCTGGCGGCCACAATGGCCTGCCTGGCCCTTTTTGGGTTTTAGCTAATGAGCGAACGAGCAGCGATGACGACTCGCCGCTGACCGAGCAATTTCTTTTGGCCAACTTTGAACTTCGGATCTTCTTTTGTCGATATTCTTCAGGTTTATTTCGTTGGCCTCATTTGGCTTATTGTTTATTGGCTTTTCGCCCCCCCTCTCCATCGCCCTTTCTTGTGGTCTTTCTTTCTCGGACTCCTGCTCTCCAGTGTTTATTATTGTTTACTTGGCATTTCATGCGCAATCATGATATAATATTTGCATTTGTATTGGCTTCGTGGCGTATGCGTAACATTCAATGCAAAAGAGCAGGAAATGGATAGTGGATATTGGATATTGGGGGAACAGAACAGTGCCGTGCCACTCATTTCTTCCTCTCTCTCTCTCCCTCTTGCATCGCACTTTGTCTGTAATTGCTTTGGGGCATGATTTGGTTGTGGATTTGTGCAGAGGAGAGGCGTGTGTCTGGAAATGGGAGGTTTTCCGCTTTTGGGTCAGTGGTTTCAGATTGAGGAAGGAATTCGGTTTGAGATTGCTGTGCGGGAGATTATAGTACGAACAGATGTGGCCCTGTGGTCCCAAAAAAGATCTTACAGCTCTAACCCAGCGGTGGTGCGTCCTGACATGACGCGGCACATTGATGGTCGAC